TGATGCGGTGTTTGGTGTTAAGAAGTCACTCGTCGTGGTGCGTGCCTCTGCTACAATATTGCCCAGCTACTCTGAGCTAGTTCCGTACTTCTGATTTCAGTCCCTGAATGACGTGGATAACGAGCAGCAGGCGCGGAAGTGCGGGTTCCCCAAGGGCAGCCACTTCAAGCTATTGAAGCAGGATATCGTGTTGGTGCCTGCTGCCGAGTCCAAGGCTGCGCGTGAGCAGTATGCGAAGGAACATGCTGTGGAGGTCAAATTATAATGAACGAATGGACGAACATGGGTGATTGACAAGGTGTATAGTGGTAAGATGTATGTATAGTGGTTCAGATAGCTCAACCTGTCAGACAATGTGTATTACCTCGCACAATCGGAACTGTATTTCGTCATTCAGTCTTGGCTCATGGTTCGCTTCTTCATTCATGTAGTGAATAGCTTTGCGGAGGAGAATGGGGGATGCAGTTCCATCCAGGCACGCAGTAGTCCGACGGATAGCCATCACAGATCAACAGGGTTCAGCGTTAGCAGGCCATATCATCGATCTTGCGCCCATACAGACCCGTCTATCAACATCTGCTATAGGCCTAGATGAGTTTGACGGGCGCTGACTGCTCGCTTAACCAGGCGCGTGTGTCGGCTATATCAAGGATTTCAGGCTATGAAGGCTCTCTTGTAAGACGCCTTTGCGATTGCTAGAAGCTCAGGAGAGCAAAGACTGGGCATTCAGCGGAGACCCAGCATCCGAGGCATGGCATATGCCGTGCATCATGATGAGTGAGACTTGGACTAAGGACGCACTGGTTCAAAGCCTGCCTGAGCATGTCTTTGATGAACGTCACAATTCAGGCTGTTCCAGTTTCAGCATACTGTATGAAGGAAATCATAGATGAGGCCAGCTACCGGGGGCTTCCACGAACCATGCAAAATTTAGTAAACTGCGAGGATTACTCAGGGTAATCGAGGGTATCTTCTTCGCTTGGCCGGGTTTTCAGTCAGGCGAGATATGAAGTCCTAGGCCTCTGGGAGGTCCTGAAACACGAGCAGACCAGACCATGGATCCATCGAGCGACAACGGAGCAATTGGCTGCGAGAATGTTGAATTGCAGCTAAAATAGCAGAAGACTATACATAGGACTACACTGATGGACAGTGATTATTAAACTTGGACTTGTATCAGATGTGCTAGAGCGTTCCTGGGAATAATAGACATACATCGACGAAAGTCAGATATCCCGTATGGAGATGGCATGATCGCCTGTCTTTAGAACATATCGGCTTTAATCAGAGCCCGACCGAAGAATAACTGAAGGGAGATATTCTACTAGCGTCGGCCACAGGCCCGCCTGAGAACAGGAAGTCTCCAAGGTGATTGCACAGGAATTCGAACGCAGGAGAGTTCCAGTGGGGACGCCGGCTTGGGAAGGGGCGATGCGTGGCTGTAAATTACTGGCGGTGCTGTCGATGTCAAGAAGGCGATGAGGCAATGTTTGGCCATATTTGGTATCTCAGGGGAAGGCGCGTCGCGGTTTATATACCGCAGCCTGTCTCCAGGTTCTGCTCACCACTTCCGTCCTCTGCCAGCGTGCAGTCCTATCGTCGCTCTTCACGGTATGTACGTGCGAACACTACGCGACAGTTGATTTATACAGTCTACAGAATCCACAGTACCTCGCCTAACTCTCGTCACGATGTGTGGAATCTTTGGTTACTGCAGCTATTTGAAGGAGAAGGTGAGCATATAGTCTCTGTTCGGAATCGGAGGAGTGGTTGTGCGATGGAGGGTATTCGTACTATCTGCTGGCGAGGTACACGTGTCTAGATGTGACTGGTGAGCTCTGGTTTTGACCGGGCTACGCGTCAATGTCAGCCATCGGACGGCTTGCTCGGGTCATTGATGGTAGAGACTGGCATCAGGTCTAGTAGAGGAGCATCTTTGATGGGTGGCGGATGTTCCTTTGCCTGCTGGGAACGCTCGTCCGGACGGGATACCAGCTGGTGTTCAGTTTCAGTTGGCGTCATTGCGCGGACCTTTTACTCGCTTCCAGAACATCTGAAGCAGTGAAGTGATGTTCTGCTCGGCCTATTATCCCGCCCCATAGGTCTTGGTACCATAGAGAGACGGGGGAAGGCAACGCCACGGTGTAACTTAACCAGCATATATGCTATTCTTGTCTCTTCGTCCAGCTCAAATCTGCTGTGCAAGTGAAACTGACCGCTTTTTCCTCTTTCAGACCCGCGCTGAGATATGCGAGACTCTCTGTAATGGTCTGGCGCGTCAAGAGTACCGTGGCTATGACTCGGCCGGATTCGTAGTTGACGGCGACAAGCCTGGTGAGGTCTTCTACTTCAAGGAGGTCGGCAAGGTCGCAGGGCTGCGCAAGAAGGTCGCCGAGTCAACTGTGGACACCCAGAAGGCGTTCATTACCCAATGCTCAATTGCGCACACCCGCTGGGCTACCCACGGTGCACCCTCCACTAAAAACTGCCACCCCGTCCGCTCCGACCCCACCAGCGAATTCTGCCTCGTTCACAACGGCATCGTCACGAACGCTGCTGAGCTCCGCCTCGTCCTCCAGAAGAGGGGGTACAAGTTCGAGACTGACACGGATACCGAGGCTGTGGCTATCTTGACCAAGTACGTGTACGACTCCCAGCCAGAGAAGCGGATGTCCTTCACGGAGCTCGTCCGGACGGTCTTGAAGGAGCTGCAGGGTTCGTTCGCTTTCGTCTTCAAGTCGTCCCACTACCCCAATGAGCTCGTCACTGCTCGCCGTGGTTCTCCTCTCTTGATCGGTGTCAAGACCGACAAGAAGCTGAAGGTTGACTTTGTTGATGTCGAGTTTGCCGGTGCCGAGGCCGATACTCAAGCCTCCCAAGCTAGTGAGTATCAGTCATTGCTTAAGCTCGGTCCTATCTCATTGGTTTACAGTTACCTCCCCCACGTCCCCCTCTACCCTCCTCGCTCCTCCTGTCCCCGGCTCCAGCTCCAAGCTCTACCGCACGCAATCCCGCGCTTTCATGTCCGAGGATGGCATTCCACAGCCTATCGAATTCTTCGTTGCCTCTGACGCTGCCGCCATCGTCGAGCACACCAAGCGAGTATTGTACCTCGAGGACGACGATATTGCGCACATCGCTGAGGGCGAGCTGCACATCCATCGCCTGCGCAGCAAGGACGAGGGTGCCCAGACGCCTTCGCAGATGGCCACTACTCGTAGCATCGAGACGCTGGAGATCGAGATCGCCGAGATCATGAAGGGCAAGTTCGACCACTTCATGCAGAAGGAGATCTACGAGCAGCCCGAGTCCGTCGTCAATACGATGCGTGGTCGTGTCAACTTTGATAGGCACGAGATCACCCTCGGTGGCTTGAAGGCATACCTGCCCATTATCCGCCGTGGTCGCCGCATTGTGTTCTGCGCGTGCGGTACCAGTTACCACTCTGCGATCGCTACACGTGCAATCTTTGAGGAGCTGACGGAGATCCCGGTCAGCGTAGAGTTGGCGTCGGACTTTTTGGACAGGAAGACTCCCATCTTCAGGGATGACGTCTGCGTGTTTGTCAGTCAGAGTGGTGAGACTGCCGACACTATCTTAGCTCTTCGGTACTGCATGGACCGCGGTGCCCTCTGCGTTGGCGTTGTCAATACTGTCGGTTCCACGATCTCTCGTGAGACCCACTGCGGTATTCACATCAACGCTGGTCCTGAAGTCGGTGTTGCGTCGACCAAGGTGAATATAGCTGATGCCATCGCTTTTACCTTGACTGACCATGTGTGCAGGCCTACACGTCTCAGTATATTGCTCTCCTCATGATGGCCCTCCAGCTCTCCGAGGACCGCATCTCCCTCCTCGAGCGCCGCAACCAGATCATTGACGGTCTCCATGCACTCCCTGGACAAATCAAGAAGGTCCTCGACAACGACAAGAACCTCCGTGGTCTTGCCAAGAACGTTCTAGCCAACTCGCGCAGTCTCCTGCTTATGGGCAGAGGTTACCAGTACGCGACGTGTCTCGAGGGTGCGCTAAAGATCAAGGAAATCAGTTACATGCACTCGGAGGGTATCCTCGCCGGCGAGCTGAAGCATGGTCCTCTTGCCCTCATTGACGAGAACATGCCGGTCATTATCATCATGACTCGTGACTCGCTGTACCCCAAGGTGCAGTCGGCGTTCGCGCAGATCACGGCTCGCAAGGCGCAGCCCATTGTTCTTTGCAATGACGATGACGATAGCATTCCCGAGAACGCGAAGACGCTCCGCGTCCCGAAGACGGTTGACTGTCTCCAGGGTTTGTTGAACGTCATCCCCCTCCAGCTTCTCAGCTACCACTTGGCCATCCAAAACGGTTTCGATGTTGACTTCCCGCGGAACTTGTGAGTGACGCCCTTTTTGATGTTGTATGCATTCGTACTCATATCCGTGACCTACAGGGCCAAGTCCGTCACCACGGAGTAAATGTGTTTCGTTCAACGGATCTGGGAAAACAAAAGCTTGTTAGATTATGAAAGGCAGGTTATGGACTGCGGTGTTCGATCGGACGGTTTCACTATACCTTCGTTTTCGCTGTAATCGGGAAAGTAATGCTCTCTTAGCGCGTGCCGTCGTCGTTGTAGGATTTCTGGACATTACGTGTATATCGTACATAGCATAAAGTCAATGCATTAGTTTGAAGTCCATGGCGGTGCATGTCGATCCAAGGCTGGAAGTGTACAAAGTAAGCAGCATCCAGCACGGGGTGATAGTGCAATACGGGAGAAGCGCTATCTCCCAGCGTAATGGCCGTGCGATCTAATGAAATCTGTCGTAGCCCAGGGTACCGGGTTCAATTTAACATAGGACAGCCGCGGATATAGTAACATAACACTTGGCGCATGGGCCTCCTGGGTTGAATTTGGATTTGGCGTTGTATCGCGCAGAATAAAGAACTTTTGTGGAGAGGGCAGTAGCTACGTCAAATGATATATTGATATATATGTTAGAATTACAGTGTATAACAGCAGCATGGCGCAGTTGGAAGCGCGTTGGGCTCATAACCCAAAGGTCGCTCGATCGAAACGAGCTGCTGCTACTATTCTTTTGCCGTTCGCAATCTCAAATCCTTGGTCAAGCACCGTATAGTTGTCAGCTCACTGATACTGCTTAAGGCATAAATTTCTGTCCCGAGAGGATAGAGATGTCAGTGCGATTCCATAAAGCATAATTCCTTCAATCAGCTTAATGATGCTCTCGGCCTTTACCTTCAGCTCTAGCCTTGGCTACAGCTTCGAGCTCGGCGTAAGTGCCACTCCTAAGGCACATATGGCGGAAGATACCGTCCTCCTGTCGTATCAAGTTTGTGCTACCGCGATCCGCATGTCAACATGTCAACTGTACAACTGTACCAGCCTGTCCACCGACATTCTTGGTACGAACAGTCTGCTCGCTAGCGCGCATTCGATTCTCACACACAGTGATATTACCATTGACGCAGTGGATGTAATATACGACACGTTCAAGCTGTCTAAAGAGAAAAGTTCAAGAGACGTGGATTTTTGCATGACAGACTTCGAGTATAGTTCCTTTCCAGCATGAGGCAAAGAGACAGGCGCAAATGAAGACGGGCAGAGGGTGAGGTAACCAGAGGGTCGACGGATAGAGAGAAGCTCTCTCCAGGATATGATAATACAGATGAATCGCAGCAGAAGCATTGGGACACGCAGCCAAGAAGCAGGGGTTGCTTTGTTTTGATCCAACGTCGGATTTCAGATGACGAGGCCCCGAGGAACTTGAAGATGGCCGTCGAAGGCCCCAGCACCTGGCATAACCTTTTGATACGAGCTGGCGCGGCGCGTTGCATTGGCGAGGAGATCCGGCGAGGAGTAGGACCATTGATTCAGAACGGGACGATTGGCATAACCAGCACACTCCCTGGAAATGTATTAACTATGTAAATAATCTGCGGATACGACGAAGTCACTGACCTCGACGAGGGACCAGGCACCTTTGGGAGACGAGAAAAGCTAGCAGACGGCGCCAAGGGTTTCGCACACACGCTCGGATCCCTAATCGAAGAATGTTCGCTGTAGACCTGCGAGAGACGCCCGCCAGAACCGTCGAAAGCAGCGAACGCATCGTCGAACGGAGAGGTCTGGAACACGAAAGGCGGTGCATGAGGGTTCAAGCTAGACCTCAAGTCCGGGCTGGATCGCAGCGACGAGAATGCAGAGTAGTCAGATCCAGGGTCCGAAGAGCAAGCGGTGGGATTCATATACTCCAGGCGAATAGCGTATCCGGCGTACACCTGATTTTGAAGAGCGCCTTTCGCTTCCTGCGCGCTCGTGATACAAGCATATTGGAGAAGGACGGAGATAGTAGATGGTTGACTAGCGGCTGAAGCAGGTTCCAGAATCTCGAGTTTCTTGATGTCGCCGAAAGGACAAAAGAGCGGGTAAAGGTCAACAGTCTGGGAGAACAGCAAAGTAGGCAAATTGGAGACCAGTAGAGTCGCGCCTTGATCTGTGATGGGAGACCGGCTGGTAAGGAGGCTTTCCTGACGAACATCGAGATGGTCTCCGACGCTGTTGACCAGGTCAGGACCGGGTGAATCGTCCGATTCATCCATGGAAGCAGACGCAGGGCGCGACAGCATCATAGTACGGTCGCCCCCGTCAAGAAAACCTGAGAGAGAAAATGGATGTATAAGGAAGAACGCAGAAAAACATTTATAGCGGTACTTGCCTTGAGAACGCTGGACGACGGCCCACGACACATCGATACGGTAGCCCCTGTAGATCAATTCATGACTGCCCCAGGCAAGGAGAGCACCTTGGAACATACTTGATTTCCGTACGGGAGAGCGCAGTTAACGCTGCCCTGGCTTCCGCATGGCTCGACATGACAACAAAACCCCGACGCCGAGAAGCGTTATCAACAGTGGCCAGTATTACAGAGTGGCGCACAGTCCCATAGCGAGAGAATATCGCAGTAAATTCAGGCCTATGACAATGATCAGTCCTTGTGGTACTGATAACAGTTCCTCGATGGCAGCTCACTTAGTTAAGTCAAAAGGCAAACCAAGAACGTAGAGGTTGCGCCGTTCGTCTGATTGCTTGACCTGCGTACCGGTCCGATGATTGTTCAATGGGCACAGAGATGACACCGCACTACGCATATACTTGGTCAGTATACAGCCAGGGATGCATATACGCGCAATATATGCATGCACAGGGTGCACTGATGATGACCACAATACAGCTACAGTACTCACAGAGGAACACCTCCAACAGTGTAACCAGACATGCAGAGCGCTTTCCTATCGTACCATGAGCAGAAGTCCGTGATCCGGGTATGCATCCACTCACTTGCAGGCATCACGCGTATGAAACGTCAGAACCATAGTACGACCCTTCGAATCGTCCACACTTTCTTCGCACTCACGAACATCGCCTGCATTTATCCCTCAGTCAGTCGCCTAGAAAAATGAAAATTGATATCTGCTCACTGACCGACAAGGTTGCTGAATAGACTGATGATCTCGTAACGGCTCGCTAGAGCGACACGTGAGCCCCGTTCAGCCGACTAAATAGATGGCATACCAGTCTGCGCTATATTCTGAACTTTGACCGCGTACGCTTCCCGAGAGAATTTGAACACCGGTGGTCCCGAAGCCATCGTCACTTTTTGAGCAAGAAAGGATATAAAAGAGAGAAGATGCGGGGCTCGCAAGAATAATTAAGCAGAGAGCGTAAGAGTGTAGAGCACTACAAGCAGGGGGGACGGAGAAGGGGTCAAGAAAGTCCAAGAACAAGAGCGCCTGCCGTCGAAGAGGAGAGGCAAAAGTCCGTCTTATTATACGACGCCAGTGCGGTTTCTCACGCCACAGTCGCGTCTTCCTCTTGCTTCGCGCGGAGTGAATCGTGAAGAGTATGACATAGAATATTGGTGACAGGAAGGAGTGCATGTCGCAGGGGGCCTTCTGCCGCTGACAGACATTCCAAGTGAGGATAAATTGACAATATATTCGCTGGCCAGCAGAATTTGTTGCTCCGGACCTCGCAAGTAGCGGACGAATCAATGTAACGAACTGGCCTTCGAATTCTTCGTTACTCGCACGCAGAGTAACCAAGCAGGGGGAGATCCAATAGGACAGACAATCCAGTACATGCTCTGGAGCCACGGGTGCAGGCCCGGCTAACCGGCAAGTGCCAGAGTGAATTATGAGTGGATGCGGCGCTTTGAGGCACCGCTACGTATACCATGTGATGCAGGATGCAGTAGAAATAACGCCAGACATTCCTTCGGCAGGCGCACAGTTGATGTGCACCACCGCAAGTTGACTACGAATGTGTTCCTGTGAACGGCGTAGCCTCGACCCAGTACCCAGGCCAGAAGCTGGGGTCCGTTCCGTAGCTTTAAGAAGTATCGTCTGTATTGATGGTGCCATCCGGGCTGACAATAGTGTCCATCTTCCAATCGTTGTCGGTAATTGGCACTTGCCCTGCCTCAAGCAACTGTTCTCGCAATGAGAGGGCCACTGTTACGACAGGTCCATGAGAACGAGCTCTGCACCAATATCACAGGAGCTCACCTAGGAGTGGTCTCTTGCGCCCGGGAAGCGACGTATAAGTGGATATAAACCGGTCGTAGTATCCTTTCCCATGGCCTAGCCGTGATAAGGACTTATCGAAGGCAACGCCTAGATAACGAACAAAGTTGATGGTTACGGTTTGATTCACAGCATTCAGGGTCGTATAAGTACCTGGTACCAAGATCATGTCGAGACCCTCCGACGCCACATCCTCCACTAAGTTCAGATTGTGCCGGCAAGAAGTTGAGCAAGTGATTGCCATGAGACAATACAAAACCTACCACTCATACGCCGCTGCCCACCCAAGATGTACTCAGGCTCTCTAATGCCCCATTGACCGCTTGAAAAGGCCTGGAGATCCTCCTCTCCATAGACCTTGAGGAACTCCATGCGTCCCTCGATGGTACGGTCTATCTTGGGCACGAATAATGCCTTCCCTTGAGAAGACATGCATAAAGCTTCATCTACTGTAGTAGAAGTAGGAAGTCGTACCTGCTCGGAGAATCTCCGTCACAAGCGAGGCCGTGTCCACTTCGCCTGTGGGCATGCTGAGATAGCAGCTTATGGTCTTGCTTTTTGCAAACGCGGGCAATGCAAGGACACGAGAAGCTATCGCGTGTGCTGACGGAAGGCATAGATGTAAATGCAAACTTCCCTGGACTCGCGAGGCAATTCACATTGTTCCTGCACATTCGCAGTCGGAAGAGAGCGCAGCGTTGCACCCACAGACTTGCGTAAGGCTCGCTTGGTGGCCTGTACAGTAGTCATTACGCGAGTGCCAGATAGTCTTCAGAGAGGAGCAACTAGGTCAATAGGTTATTGCAGTAAAGGGACTGCTGTAGCCTCCGTCGGCGACAACAATGTTTAATGAAGTCCGAGACTTCGGATTGAAGGACCCACAAGTCGTGGGAACACGCCAAATTGCCACAATTGTGGCCATACAACGGCAATGACTGTCCTGGAAACCTTGTTTACGTTCAAACCACAACGAAATCGGAGACGTTATTGCAGTGCGTATCTGACATGTGCTCCGCGCATTTGTGACTCACATTACACTACATGTGCTTCATGTTGACGACTGCCATACTACGTGCTTCCCTGTCATTGTATCAAACGGCCGGTAGATACAGCGCTTCCAGCTGTCGCATGTCTGAAGATCCTACCTCGCCCGTGTCACCTCTGGCCTCATTTCCACCAGAGCCTCCGCCTGAATACCGAAGTCGCGCGCCCGAGTTCTATGGCTTCGCCGTCCTAACCTCCACATACATCCTCTTCTGCATCTACCTTCTCTGGGGTCTTCTCCCGGACGAGTATATCACCTGGCTGGGAGTCTCGTGGTACCCTAACCGGTGCGCGTTCTAGCCCCGCTGATGGGCTAATTCAATACTGAGATCCGGGTGGCCCCTGCAATCTAGAGAGTGGGCAGTCCTTCTGCCGGCTTATTCAATCGTACTCGTACTTCTGACATACTTCACCTATTTTGCACTGGCCATTGCCGGTAC